ATTAATTGTTGATTTTAAAATTTTTTAAACCCATCTTTGTACAAAGTAGGTTTTCGCCAAATTCCTTTATATTACAAATTAAAGATGTGCTAAAATTTTGGAAAAAAGTAAACACATTTCTAATTGTTTAATAGATCAGGTATATTGTATACTATTTCGAGTTAGCAAGTGATCGGTAACAATAATTAATTGTTGATTTTAAAATTTCTTAAATTAAATACTAACCAAAATTATCAAATGTAAAAAAAAATTTATTATTATTGTTTTTTAAAAAACAAGTTTATAGAGCATGCATAGTTATGATGCTAGCCAAAAATTGACAAAATTATTTATTTATTTAACACGATATTATTATTAATATTAAAGTATACTTTTGTAATTAAAGCACAAAATTCATCTGATGGCTTAATTCTAAGGTTTCTGGTCTAATATACCTACCTCTATATAAAAAACGCTGAAAAACCCAAATCGACAAAATAGTTTGAGCTTTGAGAAACAGTTTGGACTAGAAACCTTACTTGATTGTCAGACCCATTTAATCGTACGATTTTAATAATAGCAAAAACTAATTTCGATTTAATGATTTAGCGTAACATACGCATTGCACTGTTTAGTATCTACTACTACCATTTAATTTATTTATTATTAGTATAATTTTCGGTAAAATGAACTGTCGGTGAAATGAACTGTCGGTAAAGTGAACTGTCGGTAAAATGAACTGTCGGTAAAATGAACTGTCGGTAAAATGAACTGTCGGTAAAATGAACTGTCGGTAAAGTAATTGTCGGTGAAGTAATTGTCGGTAAAGTAATTGTCGGTAAAATGAACTGTCGGTAAAATGAACTGTCGGTAAAATGAACTGTCGGTAAAATGATTGTAGGTAAAATAATACGTCGGTAAAGTGAATGCCTCCCCCACAAACCACACAGTCAACCCCGTTATTTCCGTTTAAAATTAGTATTAGTGTTAGTATTTAGGTTTAACAAATTTGGTTTAACGGGTTGGATTTACTGTTTCTTTGGTTTAACAGGGTTGACTACACAGTTGTGTATATATTATTATTATTATGTTTACTGTTTTTAGAAATAAACAATAATTCTACATATCTAAATTTATTTGTTTATCGAATAAATTTTGGGATTTCCAATTAGATATTTTAAAATCATCATTAATGATATTCTAATTTTTTCTCTTTTTAAAAATATATGTACGTACCAATAATTAATTCAATTTAAAACTATCTATTAGATTTGGTGGTGGTTGCTACACAGTGAGGGAGGGCATCAAGCAAGAATGTAAGACATTCGATTATAAAATTTTTTTACTATGTAAATTCAAATTTACTATTACTATAGATCTGTGACCAGTAATTTTTTTTAATTGCTTTTTTAGGGAATAATAAAAATCGTTTCCTCGAGCCAGAGACCGAACGAGTTAGATGTGAGGAGTGTGGGAAGTTAGTTAAGAAATTAGGTGAGGAAAGTGGAGTGTGTGGGAAGTGTAAGGAGAAATTTGTTTAATTTTTGTGACGAAATAATTTTCGACGAAATGAACACGATACAAACTTTTGACGAAATGAACATTCGACGAAACGAATTTTCGATGAAACAAACTTTCAACGAAACAAACTTTCGACGAAATGAATCAGACCCGAAATTGAAATATTATGGAGTGGGGTGAAATTCTGATTGGCTAATTTGAATTCCACATAATTTCATTTTCACGTACAACAGTATCAATAACAAGTAAATTCTGCAAAAATAATACAGCAATGCAGTAATCAAATATCTTCACCGGCCAGGTAGTAAGTTTATGAAACATGCTCAAGATCGGTATTATCAAAATGCAAATAAATCCCAGAATGTATTT